CCATATTAGTTGTCATTGCAAAACACATTGGTTAACAAAAAATACCGATAATAGATAGAAATTTACTTGAAATAAATATTGTGCATAATAATAACTACCTGGTGCTGCTGTTGGAACTGAAATAAAAAGTACAGTGTATTTCAAGTTCAAGGTGAAAAAAATGACAGTGTTATATGGGAGAAAAATTCATTTTGCTCCTGAACATCCTAATGATATCACGTTGTTACGTGTGGTACCCGAGCGAACTCCTTAGGATCGTACTTGGTAAATGCTCAAGTCTTAGGATAAAAACGAATGCAAATTTTAAAACAAATATACAAATGACCATTGTCTAGTGTATAATTTTAGCAATAAATACAGATAAACCTGCCACTTAGCCATACAGAAGCTACTGGCACTACCTGCCACTTGACTATTCAAAAGTCACTGGGTAATTCTAGCCAGTTGAATATACAAATACTTTTGCTACTTTGCTAAACAAATTGCAGTTTGTTTTATTCGTTAACTGACTTTACAACGAGCTCTTGGTCACTTGACGACATAATCAATTTCATTCATCAAATTGATATCAACTTACTGTAGTTATCTTTGCCAGAAAACAATTCGTTACCTATAATTTGGACACCACATTTTTGACTTTCCACGCAAGAATGTGTTTCTGAGCATTTCTGAGCATATCTGAGCATACTTTGCTCATTAAAACAGTTGAATTCTTTGATTAGTACATACATGTACCCTGAATTCCGGAACTACTTTAGTTTCACTTACCTTTTCAGATGGTATTATTAATACATATAGCCTGGTGTGTAAATTTTGCAGGAAAACTTATCAGACATGCTACCTCGAAATTTTAACAAACGATAATTTTATGAACTCTCATTTGAGTGGTGTCACATCCCTTAGGGAATATAAGTGGAAAATCAGTGTGAAATAACCGTAAACATTGTCGCCATTATATAAATATTGCATGTAGTTGAGTGTAACATTGAAAATTTTCACCCCAAGAAAACCATTGTCAACCGAGGCGCAGCCGAGGTTGACAATGGTTTTCGAGGGGTGAAAATTTTCAATGTTACACTCAACTACATGCAATATTCATTATATTATACTGAATGTTTTATACAAATACATATTACATTGAACCGTGCGCGCATAAATTGCGCGCAGTCGCTATTTTTTGGAATACCACCCGTCGTCAAGCAATGTTGACTGTTGCTACGCAGGAGGGCGTGGCTTCATTATTCAGCGGGTAGTAGTGTTTTTTATCAAATGTTTCTCGACGAATCAGATTCAAGTAGTTTACATGAAAGTATAATATTGTAAAATGTCTAAGGGGCAAGTGTAACCAGATGTATGAGGTTCTGTAAGCTAGTTTACTGCTCTCCCGCGTTGTGCAGTGGTTAGAGTGTCTGCTCACGACTCGAATTGATCCTTACATCGCAAGTTCGAATCCCACTGTGGGACGTGTAGACCAGTCCTTCGGATGAACCCGTTTAAAACGAGGTTCCGTGTTGTTGGCAAGAAAAAAAAATCCATCACTGCTCTATAGCTGTTAGAGTCCAGCATAGAACAAAAAAGGTAAGCTCTACAGACAAGTGTCGGTATCTTCATATAATTGAAAAATTCTTTATAGGGACATTAAACAATATTACATACTAACACATACACTAGTATATTTTAACGACCACCTTATCATAGTGCATCACATGAACATTATTGTATGAAGTAAAATGAGAAAATACTTGAATGAAAAAACTAACCTACAGTTGTATCCGGCAATGTTGGTGTTGAAGAAGTGGATGTCGATGTTTCTGCTATTGAAAATATAATGATAAACATAAATATTTTAACCCCCTTTCCAGCAGTCACGCATTTTAACGCTTATACCATTTTCTATTTCTAACACAAAATCACGCATATACCGTTTCCCCACAATCAAGCATTTGCACGCGCTTTAAAAATATTATTTAATCTTAAATTTAATGCCAATTTCCTTCAATTTTATACTTTCTAAAATCTCATAAAATATTAAAAATTGTTTTCTCATTAAAATATTATTGCGTCATAATGTTATTCACGTTAAACTTGAGAGAAACTTGTAGCATGCTATAGAGTGCTTCCTGGGAAATGGTAACGTCATATTTCTATGAGGTGACCATTAAGTGCATGTTGCATAACAGGTCAGTAAGTTGTAAAGAGTTAAATGTTCATTTAAGCATTCAAAGTCTTAAGTTTTTTTTAATTTTTAATAATAATAAAAATTGTTGTTTGATTGTATATTGTTTAATGTCCCTCTCGAGATTTTTTCACTCATATGGAGACGCCACCACTTGCCGATGGAGAGCTGCAAATTTTGTCCTATACTCGGCACTCAGGGCCATTGAGCAGGCAGGGATCTTTTTCGTGCCAGCACCTACTGCGACAAGGGACCTCGGTTTATAGGTCTCATCCGAAGGACCGGTCTCCACGTCCCACAGTGGGATTCGAACCTGCGACGTAAGGATCAACTTTTTACTTTGACTCTAGAGCAGACGCTCTAACCACTGCGCCACGCGGGCGACTAATAATATTTGACATCGGAAGTTACTTAAATAACATGCTAACATGTAAAAACTCGGTTGAGAAAAATCATACTTTAAAAAAATATATGTACAAAAGGCTTCAGATGCCTAGGATCTCCAGTCTGTTTATCTACACACCATATTTTTTTATTGTGAAAATTATGAAAATAATCTTAACTATGCAACTATGGTCCTTTTAGTTTAAAAACCATTAATGTACCTCTCCTGAACTATGTATCAGTTTAGCCCTCATCCCCTCCACAGTATTTCACAAATTATTATAAACATCGTGTTTTAAGATACTTTCATGAACGTAACCCATGAAATCACTGCCTTATAATTTGTAAACATATATTGAACACTAGCACAACATATCTAAGTCGCTCGTAGGAAGCAGTGATTAGAGCGTTTGCTTTGAAAGTAGCGAAGTAAGGCGCTAATCCTTTCGTTGCCAATTCGAATCTCAATGTAGGACGTGTAGACATGTCCTTCGAATGAAACCGTATAAACCGAGGTCCTGTTTCATTGGCAAGAAAAACAATCCCTAACCGCTCAATGTTGATTATGCCGAGCGTAATTAGGACAAAAAATGCAGCTCTAAAGGTAAGTTGTGGCGTCTCCATATGAAAAATTCTTTAGAGGGACGTTAAACAACATACAAACACAAACACAAGTATACTGTTAAGGATCATCATGTCCTATTACATATTACGGGGGTTGTTCGAAAAGTTCGTGGACGATGTCAATATTTGTTATACTGCTCGCTAGAAATTTAAAATAAGCACATTATAATATGTAAAAATATTTGTTTTGTTGATGTGTAAAGTTGTATTCCATTCGATTTAACATCATTTTAAAATCAGCATGTTTTGTACCCGCGGAGCACACTTAACTTCAAAACATCGACGTCGAGAATTTCTTAAAAAATACTATCCCCATAAATTTCACACAGTGTAATCCAATGCCCATTCATTAAATATTTTTTCTAATGCATGACATTTTTTTTTAAAGAATTGCTCTCATTGTATAATTTCCTTTGTTACATGTAAGGTTTTAATTTCTTTTAAAACTTAACTCTGCTTTCACAGGATAAGCAACTCTGAAGCGCCTATGTCTTTCCTTGACGTTCCAACTTTTTAAAGTTTTGTTCAGATTTTTACAGTTAAACAGTTTCTTCACAGATCATCCTCATCCGATACAGACTCTCTGTCACTCAAATACTGCCTGTACTATTTGTACACACATTCACAACTCGCTTGTGACATATTTTTTTGATTCCTTTAACATTTTTAGAGTTTATTCAGGATTTTCCCTGAGTAAAGCACAAAACTGAATCGTTATCTGCTGCTCTGTGACGTTCTACGGCGTCATAGATTTTGTCGTTTTCAATAAGGACTACCTATCTTCTCAGGTTGACTTTTCAACAAAGCAAAATATAAAACCAAAATTTGGTATACGAGTAGATGTAACAATTCTTATTTTGAATTTCTAGGTTGTTTTTCGTTTTTTATCCATTTTACAGGGAATATGACTACATACATTATTTTGTGTATTGTCTGTAACTTACTAAATTTTGACCTGCTCCGCGATCCGATTTTTGCATTTTTAAAATCTGGATAAGTTTTTAATAAATCGTTAAATTTCGGAAAAATTTAATACAAATCATTTGGATTTATTGTTAAAATATTTTTATCAAATTTGGATAACATATGACGTCAAATAAAAAAGATATCACAGTTGTCCATGAACTTTTCGAACAACCCTCGTATATAAACATTGTTTGGAGTAAAATGAAAAAAACAACAACTAACCTACAGTTGTATCCGGCGATGTTGGTGTTGAAGAAGCGGATGTCGATGTTTCTGCTAATCGAAAATGTGATAATTTGTAAATATATGTAAGTCTTAGGTCTTTTTATTTTCATAAAAATAATCATTTTTGACCTCAAAGCGTAAATGAAAATTAAATATTATGCTAAAGTGTAAATATTAAAACAAATAAATAAAAATATGTAAAACCTCGTTTGAGAAAAATCATACTTTTAACAATATATGTACAAAAAGCTCCTGATGCTCAAGGGGCCTTTCATTTCTAATATGATTTCTATGCTATCACAAAAGCTATTAATAGATCCTTTTATAAAATGTATTTGACTTCAGTTTTTTTAAAAATATTGTTTGTAAACCCAAATATACTGTTTGGAGTTTTAATTTGAAAAGGAACCAATGTGTATTAATGTATTAATGGACATGTCACCAATATCTCTTATCCGAAGCAGAATAAAAGGGATTTGCGGATATGGAATCTTGTTTAATCATAGTTCTTTAGTTTCATTCCGATCAAAGTATTCTTTCTTTTACAAGAAATAATAAACTACGAAACAACTATGATGCAGAGACTGCATATCAAGTGTGTAAAAGCATAAGCACAGAATCAATATTAACCTAAAGATATAGTTGACTGGTAACTAGTTGTTTTCGTTGAATCTGTTTGGGCCGTTGTAGGCATTGTCGTCGAAACAAAGGCAGTACTTTTTCCTTGGTCTGTTGTTGTTGCCTTTTTAGTTGATAACAATGAGGTTGATATGACTGAAATTGTAGAAGATGCACCCGGCTTTACTGGAGTAATTGGTGAAGTATTCCCTGCTGTTGTTGATTTAATCGATGTTGATAGTTTGCTTTGTGTTTTTGTGGAAGATGGAGCAGATGTAGTAAATACTGTTGTTTCTGTTGTTGTTGTATCTGCTTAATGTGAAAAATTATATGAAAAAGTTTGATGAGAAGAAAACTTTCACCATAAGTTTTGTTAAAAATCATTCATTTTTACAAAAAATGACAAGATTTGAATAAGCGTTAAATTAATGAAGTGTAAATGTATGTATACCTAATCTCTACAAGTAAGGAAAAATATATGAGAATATTTATGCATTTATGAATGTATTATCTAACGCAGCATGTCAGTTTCATATTTCTCAAACATTTATTAATAATGCAATATTTTATTTTTGTCAAAATTCCCTCTTAAATTTAGCGAGACAAATTTATGCTAGCAATTATACAAATTAAAAAAAAACCAATCACATGCATACTTATGCTACCAATTAAACAAAATTAAAAAGTCATGAACATAATTGTATTCATAGTAGATCTCTGTGGGCAAAGTGTTAAGTAAGAATTGAGGCTTGGCATCGAATATTCTTGAAGGTATCAATAAATTTTTATTATAGTATGAGTTTCAGATATTGGTAACTCACACGTTATGCAAAGAATGATAATACCTATTTTTTGATCAGGGAAACCTCAATTTGTGTGATCAAAATATAAAATCATCTCAATTGTAAAGGGTTTTCTCCTTGTCTACCCATCACCAATTTTCTCTAAAGCTAGTTTGATTTATCAAGTACATACCAGAGCAGGTACATTGGTTGTGTTTACACTGTCCAATCTTATCATCAGGACATTTAGTACAATCTGAACTCTTCTCACATTCGTGTCTGGAAGTTGGTGACAATGCTAAAGTGAAAACAAGAGATTCGTATCAATCAAAAACCTTTTATGAATTGTTTACTCTTCAAAAAATACTTACGTTCACAAAGACATCGAGAGTGACCGTCAAGGTTTGCACAAACTGAAATCCAATTGTTTCCACAACCATACTCATGGCAATCAATGTTGTAAACACACGTCCTTTCGGCTATAAAAAAAAAAAGTCATGCTAGAATCACTGTTTTTTAAAAAAACTGAAGAAAACATTTGCACTCCCCCCAAATTTCTGTCATTCCTACTCTTACACTATAAAAGTCAACATTTCAAACCTAATGTTAGATTGGCAAAAAAAAGTTTAAAGCTAATGCAACAACAGACAGTCTACTTGACATGAGACAAAACTAATATGTTGTTTCTAACTGAACACGTCTTGCGCATGCCATTTATATGTTTACATATATACTGAAACGCACAAGAGACGCAACAAACAGTAATCTACAAATGTTTGAATTTTTTATCTAATGATTTTCAAAAAGAATAGAGTAAGGCTAAATTTACTTTAAATAGCCTCAAAACCTCTGAGATTTGATAAAAATGTTAAATGTTTATCTTTTAACTTTACTAAGTAACATTTGACTGTTAAAACACCCCCTCCCAGCCAATCAATTACAACGTGCATTACTGCCCTAAACATCAATTGCAGCTTAATTTCTACGACACAATAGGTTATTCAATATCGAGATCTGAGTGAAGGAATTATTCTTTGCCATTTTTAAAAGCCTGTTTTTCAGATAATTAGGTCGAATTTTCTCTAACTTATTGTAGTAACTCTTGGACTTCCGGTTCAAGGACTATCATTTATGCATATGATACGTTTGACCCCGTTGAGGCGTAATGTAGTGTATTTTTAGCATCATCAACTCTCTATCACCTTTACTTTGAGATTTTTAAGCTAAAGCAATGGAAATGCGTATTTAAGCCACTTTCAAGAAGCCTTAGCATCATTATGGGAAACGAAAGGAGACTTTATGTTTTGAAGTATTGCTGCATTACTTAAGATGAACAGTACGAACCCTTAAAACTCCATAATATTGTCAAATGTTTTGTTAAACATTCAATTTTTTATTTCTGTTAAGCAGACTCAAACTTGACTTCTGGTTATTGTATGAAAATCGTTCAACCGTTAAATCACCGATATATACCAAATTGAAGATATTCATAATTCTAAGACACAAAATTCTTTTCTTTACATAATTATTTCCCCCTAAAGTAGGGTGTTGCGTTTCAGTATATTTGCCAAAACATTGTACTAGAAATGGAAACGTTTGATAGTTTATAAATCCACGAAAGACCCTTTTACTAGGCAAAAGGTTTTCATCATTAGGAAACTTGACGATAAAAGATATGATAAGGGTACTTTAAAACGTCTTTATTTAAAAATATATATCATATGAAAGTCAGGTAGTAATTCTTGTCTGGTAAAATGGTTAAAGTATACTTGGTTATATATTAAAATATAAGGGATATTATAAATCATATTTTTCTTCCTTGCCCATTTGAAAACAGAAACAGAAATTGTAAACTCAATTTGATATCAAGCAAAGACAATATATTTGGCGGAATGGCGGCGTTTCTGCTACTCAAAAACTACTACTGAACATTAGATTTAGTTTTAAGCAATCAAATTCAAGAAAATTCCTAATGCAATTCAAAATTCAAGTTATGGAATAAAGTTTTAATATATATGAAATAAATATGATTTTCCAATCAAACTAGAAACTTGTTAGCTTTAAAAGCATTTTATCTAAGATCAGATTTGAGCAAAAATAAAATTCGATAAAAGGCATTTTTCTTTCTAAGTAAACTATCAAAAGTTTTTTGTTTCATATCATTTTTTTTATTTTTGCATAACTTCAGCTGTTCTTTGTTATACGTAAAAATACAAAAAAAAAATAAATCTAAGAAGCATATTAAAAAGTAATAATCCGTAGAAATTAAAAAAAAAGAAATAGAGAAAATTCGCATTAGGCAATAACGATTTAGTTTTGTTTATTTGTTTATGTCAATTTAGTATTATCATCTTATAGACCCTTTAGGAAAGAATCATTTCAGGCAAATAGAAAATTGATTAAGTTTTTAAAATAAAAGAAGAATGCTTTAAATGATTGGTTAAAGTAATTTTATGCTATTGCTTCTAGCATATTACGGTCGAGTGGAACTCCATTCCAACAATTACTTAGTGAAAGTGTCTTCTTGAATCTGTTAAAATTTCATTCATATTTAAATACAATAAATATGAGAAGATTCCCTCCTTAATAATTCTTAAGATGATTATTGTCTTTTTAAATCACTTTCCTGCAAGAATAATTTGTTTACACAAACATTTCCATTCATTTTTTAGAAACAAATGAACATTTCTCTATTTGTCGTATTTATATTATGTATCATCACGAACCCAGTCTTATTTGTCTATCTTACTCTATACACTTACCAGAGCAGGTACATTGGTTGAGGTTGCACTGGCCAACTTCATAGTCGGGACATTTAGTACAGTCGTAACTCCCATTACATTCGTGTCTGGTTGATGATGGCGTTGCTAAGGTGAGAAAAACAAAATTCATGTCAAATGAATTCACTTATAAGGGATTGTTCATCATTGTTAAAAATACTTACGTTCACAAAGACACCGAGAGTGACCGTCTAGGTTAGCACATTGTGGATACAAACTGCTTCCACAACCATAACCATGACAATCATTGTTGTAACTGCATGACATTTTAGCTAGAGAAAGAAATCGTACCATTACATGTATCACTTTTTCCTGAATTCGGATTAGAGAAATTTCTTCTTTTCAATTGCATTTTATTTTTCCCTACTATTTTCTCGCCTATTTCTATTCTAAGCCAAAACCTTGCATAATGGTCAAATTTTCAGACCTTCTGTATAAATGAAGACCTACTGCACTAAAGAAATTTACAGTTGCAACAATTAACAGCATGCAAACATGATTAATTGATAAGTAATAATAAATGACAATTTGTTTTAGGTTTGCAAAATGTAATTTCTTATTGAATTTATTGAATCTTCCGAACACACAACAGATTTGATTCTGCATTTACAGTTAAATAAAAATCAAACTACATGTATTTCGTTATCTGATCCATTGATTAATTTTATGCTCGTTAACTTTGAAAGTGACCGACATGTGGTAAAGTGAACGTACACATTTCTTTGCTTTTTTTTCTCTTACATAATTTCAGACGATTTAATAAATGTTAATCGCATTTCCGTTTTTCTCATCTCAGGAAACTATATTTATAGCAATCTGTACAATATTAATTGCAAAGGCTTTCTCTCTGAATTCTCTATTTGATACTACAATATGTTCACTTTAAATTGTCAGTATCATTCTACACACTTACCAGAGCAGGTACATTGGTTGTGGTTGCACTGGCCAACTTGATATTCTGGACATTTGGTACAGTCGGAACTTTGCTCACATTCGTGCTTGGCAGATGGTGATGATGCTAAATAAAAAATTCATGTTAATTCATTAGCGTTTCGTATGTTAATCGCCATTTCAAAAATACTTACCTTCACAAAGACATCGAGAGTAGCCGTCTAGTTTAGCACATTGTGGATATAAACTGCTTCCACAACCAAACCCATGACAATCATTGTTGTAACTGCATGACATTCTGACTAGAGAAAAAATTGTACTAGTATTATTTTTTCTTAAAATCGGATTAGAGAAAAGCGTTTGATGTTTTCATTTGCATTTTATTTTCTCTACTATTTTCCCTCCTGTTTTTATTCTAAGCCAACACCTTGTATAATGGTCAAACTCTCAGATTTTCTTTAGAAAAGAAGACCTACTGTTATAAAGAAGTTGCAACAATTTACTATGTGCAAAAAGGGTTAATTGATAGGTATTAAATGAAGGACAATTCGTTTTAAATTAGAAATGTATTTTCTTATTGAATCTCTCAAACATACGACAGATTTGAGTCTGCATTTACGGTGCAAAAAATCAAACCACATGTATTTGGTTGTCGGATCCATTTATTAATTCCATGCTTAACTTTAACTAGAGTGTTCCAAAGAAAGCATGTGTTACCTGCTTTTAGCTTCTTTGAAGAAGTAACTAAATCTGATTGGTCGGCTAATTATATGCTACAGTATTTTATGCCAAAAATATAGCATGGTAGTTCATAATTGCATAAAAAACAACAACACAGTATTAGACCGATAAAGTGTGTCAATAAAAGAATTTGATTCCCACCTATTTACACGTAACAACTGGAAGGGGGGCACTTTGTCTCAGGAATAATTTTTACTATTGAAAATGTTCATTGAAAGGCCGGTTGCCCCCCCTTCCGTCCCTCACTTTTTGTAAGAGAAAGGGTCAAATAAAAGTAAAGTAGAATGTTTGGGAAAATATATGTATTGAAAGACGTTGAATCTAACCCTTAAACACCCCCCCCCCTCAAATATGATTTTCAATTTCCAATTTTTTGCTTGTTAACTTTTTACCTCGTTGACACCCCCCCCCCTTCGCTCCAGTTTCAAAAACGACGCTACGTCATTGAAATGAATAATTAAAATGAAGTCATTATAAATGATTATTTATCATAGTACATGTGTTAATACCTGTTTCAAAGTCTTTACACCAATATTGACACTCTAAACGATCCGTTGTGGGATCCCGATTTATTTTCATAATATTTATATATCAGTTTGTGTGGTAACTGAATATCATAATTATACAGTTTCAAAAACAGTATTATGAAGTCATAAAAATGTGTAAATGTTAATTATCAATACCCGCCATTCAATATTCAAAAGCTTTAAGCTAAATTAAATTATCCGGGGGTATTCCTTGTAAAGTAGGTCAAAGGTCAAGGTCAAGTGAATTGTAATGCTGGTATTTTTCATAATGTTTTCTGTCCATCAGTGCATGCACACGCTAAATTTATAGCATAGAATTACCCCTTAAATGTCAAAAATATGCTGTATATTGGCACTTTTAACTTTTTAGTAACGTTAACATTTCTTTGCTTTTTTTCTCATAGCCTATATAATTTTAAAGATCTTAGAGATGTTAATCTTATTTCCGTTATATGCACCTGCCAAAGTTTTAACTGATGAAACTGTATTTATATTAATCTGTATAATTGTAAAGGTTTTGCCTCTTTATCCTCTATTTAATACTACCTCATGTTCACTTTAAATTGTCAGTATCATTCTACACACTTACCAGAGCAGGTACATTGGTTGTGGTTGCACTGGCCAACTTCATATTCGGGACATTTAGTACAGTCGGAACTTTGTTCACATTCGTGCTTGGCGGATGGTGATGATGCTAAATAGAAAATTCATGTTGTTAATTCATTAGCGTTTCATATGTTAATCGCTACATTGAAAATACTAACCTTCACAAAGACATCGAGAGTGACCGTCTAGGTTAGCACATTGTGGATACAAACTGCTTCCACAACCATAACCATGACATTCATTGTTGTAACTGCATGATATTTCAGCTACAGAAAAAAATCGTACTGTTACATGTATTACTTTTTCTTAAAGGGGCTGGGTTGTTGTGGCCATTTTTATACAATTTCGATCTCCTTTAGAAGAAGAGCTCCATATAAAGATATAATAAAATGATCAAATTTTACAACTTAAATTTAGGAATTTTTTCTTTGCCAAATGATAGTTGACAGCTTAAGATATCATATCTAAAAAAATAAGTTATATCTGGTGGTTAATAAAAAATAATTTGTTGACCCCCTAGCATCCTTAAAATCGGACAATGGAAAAACGTTTGATTTCTTTTCAAGTGCATTTTTTTTTCCTACTACATGTATTTTCCGTTCTATTTGTATTCCAAGCTAAAACCTTGCACAATGGTCAAACTTTCAGACCTACTGCAGAAAAGAAGACCCTACTGTAGTCAAAAAGTTATCAATTGCAACAATTAACAATGCGCAAGCATGATTAATTGAGAAGTATTTTATATAGACAATTCGTTTTAAAATAGCAGAATGTATTGAATTCTTGTTGAATTCAATACTTGTTGAATCTCTATAACATACGGCAGATTTAAGTCTGTATTTAGGGACCAGGCAAAATTTATCACAATGATGGGACCGGTACAAAACAAAATTCTCATTTTAAAAAAAAAGAATGTGTCCCATGGCATTTGTGATTGAAAAAGACCTGTCCCATGCCTTTAGATGTAAAAAACATTGTCCCATGGTTACCGGTTCGTCTTGATGTTAGTGAGATAATTGGAACAAAAATATAAAAAGTACAATGTTAACAGTTACTAAAGAATTGGAGTCTTTCAGATTACAGATATTTCAAACATCAATAAAAGTTTTATTGTTTGTTAATATACAAATCACTTATTAACATCGTTACTTTGTAAATGTTTTCTTTAATTTGAAGATTTATGTTGCCCTTTGTACCCTTCATTTGACTTTAAAAGATGCGAATTTTTTTAAAGATTTCTTTTTGTTGAAAACTCTAAGAAAGTCTGTGTCTCATGGGTACTAAATGCTAAAAATGTTTTTGTTACATGACTTTCTTTGATGAAAAACGCATTGTCACATGTCTGTTTGTTGAGTAAGGTTTCCCCCATAGCCAGCATTCTCCCCGGAAATCGTACTTTAGAGTAGGATCCCCCACTGCATCCCCGTGGGTAAAATTCAAACCAGAGCAAATTTTCCCCCTCTCTTTTTTTCAGAGTAGGATTCTCCTTTCTTATAGAGTCAGTATATAAACCACAGTCGCATGATAAACAACAAACGTTTTTTTAATGAATATAGTAAGAATTTTCTGAGCATAAATCATGGAGTCAAAACATGACTATTTAGCTTTTAAAAGAAAATGTAAATATCCTCATATTTGATGTCTTAAAACTTCTAATGGCCCATTGGTACTTGTATCTGTCACATATATTTAATTATGCTGTATAACAAATCTATCTAAAGTTTTTCCCCCAAAGAAAGTCATTTATTTATGTATATCTTTTACTACTTGTATGTTACTTGAATCCAATGAATTAAAAAATGTTTGAGGTCGTATCTCGATCAAACGAATTAAATTTTTCTCATTACCACTTAGCTGGTATCTTATAACCAGATATGCATTTCGTTAAAAGGATATAATTATCTTGCATGTTAAAACGAGTAGAACTAATAATCTCGTTTTGTTATATATTTTTTAAAAATAGTTCCTATATAAAAGTTGAACATTTCGACTACTTTATTTAGCAGTTATAAAAAAAAAACAGTCATACTCTCATGTAAATTAGTTGAATCTGATTTTTCGAGAAATATTTGTTTAAAAACACTATAGCTAGTATCCGCTGACTAAAATGACGCCACACCCTCCAGCGTAGCAACAGTCAAGACTGCTTGACGACGGGTGATATTACAAAAATGTTGACTGCGCAAAATTAATTGCTTGCAAGGTTCATCGTAATATGTGTTTTCATAATATAATAAATATAGCATGTTGTTGAGTGTAACATTGAAATTTTTCCACCCCTCGAAAACTTGGGCAATCTGGTCACCATTTCGAAGAAGGGACACTTGTAGCAATTAATGTTCTCCCCATCCACCCTCAAAAGATAAGTGCAACAATTATATTTTCTTGGGCGAGGGGTACTGTAGATCACTAAATTTTCGCGACACCTTATTTTCGCGAGATAGTCATTGACTCTTTATTAGCGAGACAAAATTTTCGCGAATTGTGGTTAATACTCTATCTAATCTTTAGGAATACTATTATACGCGAGAATTAAATTTTCGCAAACACAGTCTCGCGTAATTACGCGAAAATAAAGTTCTCGCGAATAAAAAGTGATTTACAGTATATTGGCGGGGGAAATTTGGCTCTGGAGAAAACCGCACTCTACTACTTCTACATAGAGTGGGATTTCTCCCCGGAAAATTGACTCTGGTGTGGGATTTCCGTAGGGGAAATCCTACTCTGGTGCCAGTTTTCCGAGGGAAATTCTACTCTGGAGTCAGTTTTCCGGAGGGGAAAGGTTCTACGGAGGAAATCCTACTCTACAAAACCGAACCAGTAATAAATTTTGCCTGGTCCCTTACAGTGTAAAAAATCAAACTACATGACCTTGATTGTCTGATCCATTGATTAATTTTATGCTCGTTAACTTAAAAAAACGACTGATATGTGACAAAGGGAACGTTAACATTTCTTTGATTTTTTTTATTATACATAATTTTAAAAGATTTTTTATATGTTAATCACATTTCCGTTATACACACCTGCACAATTTTAACTTTTCTTTAAAATTTCCCTACACATCTGTTTATATCATTCTGTACAATTGTAAAGGTTTTCTAATCTTGTCCTCTGTTTAATACTACCCCATGTTCATTTAAAATTGTCAGTATCATTCTACACACTTACAAGAGCAGGTACATTGGTTGTGGTTACACTGTCCAACTTGATATTCGTGGCATTTAGTACAGTCTGTACTTTGTTCACATTCGTGTCTGGCGGATGGGGACGATGCTAAAACGAAAATAGAAAATTCGTTTATTAAATCAATTAGCGTTTCATAATAGGCTATTAACCAGTTCGAAAATTCTTACCTTCACAAAGACATCGAGAGTGACCGTCTAGGTTAGCACATTGTGGATATAAACTGCTTCCACAACCATAACCATGACAATCATTGTTGTAAATGCAGGACATTTGGGCTAGAGAAAAAACGCATTGTTATAACTTGTTTTCAGAATCGTACTAAAGAAAGCGTTTTGATTTCTCTTCAATTGCAGATAAAGTTTCTCCTATTATTTCCCCTACTATTTCTATTCCAAGTCATAACCTTATATCATTGTCAAAGTTTCAGACCTACTGTAGAAAAGATGATCTTCTGTAGTGAAGACATTATCAGTTGCAACAATTAACAATATGCAAACACGATTAATTTTTCAGTATTAAGTTCGGGGCAATTTGTTCTAATTTAGCATAATGTATTTTCTTATTGCATTTCTTGGACACACGACAGATTTGAGTCCGTATTTATAGTGCAGAAAATACCTGCATTTGGTTGGCTGATCCATTGATTAATTTTATGCTCGTTAAAAAATGACCGACATGTGATATTTAATAGTGAACGAAAGCATTTCTTTGCTTTTTTCTTATACATAATTTTAGATTTAATAGATGTTGATCGCAATTCCGTTATACGCACTTGCAAAATTTTATCTTTTCCTTAAATTTTCCCTACTCATGTGAGGATACTGAACTTACATCAATCTGTACAATTGTAAAGGTTTTCTCTCTTTATCCTATGTTTATCAAGGCTACTCCAAGTTCACATTAAATTGTCAATATCATTCTAAACATTTACCAGAGCAGGTACATTGGTTGTGGTTACACTGTCCAACTTGATAATCGTGGCATTTAGTACAGTCGGTACTTTGTTCACATTCGTGTCTGGCGGATGGGGACGATGCTAAAACGAAAATAGAAAATTCGTGTATTAAATCAATTAGCGTTTCATAATAGGCTATTAACCAGTTCGAAAATTCTTACCTTCACAAAGACATCGAGAGTGACCGTCTAGGTTAGCACATTGTGGATATAAACTGCTTCCACAACCATACCCATGACAATCATTGTTGTAAATGCAGGACATTTGGGCTAGAGAAAAAACGCATTGTTATAATTTGTTTTCAGAATCGTACTAAAGAAAGCGTTTTGATTTCTCTTCAATTGCAGATAAAGTTTCTCCTATTATTTCCCCTACTATTTCTATTCCAAGTCATAACCTTATATCATTGTCAAAGTTTCAGACCTACTGTAGAAAAGATGATCTTCTGTAGTGAAGAAGTTATCAGTTGCAACAATTAACAATATGCAAACACGATTAATTTTTCAGTATTAAGTTCAGGGCAATTTGTTCTAATTTAGCATAATGTATTTTCTTATTGCATTTCTTGGACACACGACAGATTTGAGTCCGTATTTATAGTGCAGAAAATACCTGCATTTGGTTGGCTGATCCATTGATTAATTTTATGCTCGTTAAAAAATGACCGACATGTGATATTTAATAGTGAACGAAAGCATTTCTTTGCTTTTTTCTTATACATAATTTTAGATTTAATAGATGTTGATCGCAATTCCGTTATACGCACTTGCAAAATTTTAACTTTTCCTTAAATTTTCCCTACTCATGTGAGGATACTGAACTTACATCAATCTGTACAATTGTAAAGGTTTTCTCTCCTTATCCTATGTTTATCAAGGCTACTCCATGTTCACATTAAATTGTCAATATCATTCTAAACATTTACCAGAGCAGGTACATTGGTTGTGGTTACACTGTCCAACTTGATAATCGTGGCATTTAGTACAGTCGGTACTTTTTTCACATTCGTGTCTGGCAGATGGTGAAGATGCTAAGGTTAAAATAGAAAATTCATTTTGTTAATTCATTAGCGCTTCATACGTTATTCGCCACTTCGAAAATTCTTACCTTCACAAAGACATCGAGAGTGACCGTCTAGGTTAGCACATTGTGGATATAAACTGCTTCCACAACCATACCCATGACAATCATTGTTGTAAATGCAGGACATTTGGGCTAGAGGAAAAATCATGATGTTTAGTATTTCTTTCAGTTCACAATGGTAATTTTTATTCTTGAAACCTAAACCAATAACACTATTTAACATTACTGTACAGATTGCCATGAGGAAGTTTAGAGATATTTTAATATTGCAACAATTGTTCAACTACATGAAATGTTTGCTGAAATGGCCATTGGTGTATGGTATTTCTTAAAATATCTATCAAGCATACATCTGTTATGATTTCTGTGTTTGCATAATAAAGAAGAAATCATTGATAGAAAGATCAATTTAAGAATATTTTGCTTAAGTAATAAATTAAAAACCGTTGCTACAATTGAATATCATATATGAGGTGAAGACATCAAAATCAATTCTTTTTCCATATATCAATACCATTTTAGAAGTTCTTTAAAGAAAAAAATCACATTTTGTTACAGGTGTGTGGGGATTTTATTGTGAGACATACATGTATACTTATTTTTACACAGGATATATCTTTGTTGTTAAAGTTTTTTTTACAATTCTATACTTACCCAAATATTACAACGTTTTAAGTTTTAATTGTCCATGAAAATCTGTACACCTACCAGAGCAGTTACATTGGTTGTGGATGCACTGTCCAATCTGATAGTCAGAACAAATAGTGCAGTCAGAATTGTCATTGCAGTGGCTGATCGTGGCAGATGCCGATGCTAGAAAAAAAGTATTTCAATTTTTTTTTCTATTCATGTTTCTAAACTAAGTCTCTTTTAGTTCATGTTTCAATTTGTAAATGTAGATACGTTGTTGAAGAATTTGGATTGTTCAATATTATTGCTTCTTTATATTATCAGGGGTGGTTCAATAGTAGGGATAATTTTTTGTGGAAATATATGCAAGAAATCTTGCACATCATATGTATCTAATATTCGATATTTTATTTATTAAAAAGTCACTTTCATAGAACAGATAAATACATATATTTTCAATTTTATGTTGGACCCTCTCTTCATCTCTTCATAAATCTGTTGAAATCAGAAACTTTTTACATGTCTATAAGGAATGTTTTATTAAAAATAAGGGACAAATTTCGATTAAAAAATTGTCTTTTGTTAAATCGAGTACTTCTGTCTAGGATTGCATCAACTGCTGTGAGCACAGTCGATCACAAAACAACATGTTGAATTAGAAGCTATGGTTTTAAGAAATAAACATATAGATAACTAGAAACTCTTGCATTTGTTGCTACAGCAACAAAAAAGATCTTCCGTTTTTCTTTATTTTTCTGTATGAATGATTTTTTTCTATGTTAAAAACAGCCATATAATATTTACAAATAATATTAAATGAAAAAGAAATAAAAAACAGAATTCATATTCTGGATACAGGTGTGCGTTCAACAGCGTAGCTTCTACGTAGCTGCTACGTAAAACTACACGAGAACCTACGTAGCCGCTGCGTATGGAGTTACCATAAATATTTAATGCTACGTCCCAAATCCAAGATGGCCTTATTTACAACTTCACAGCATATAAGATTTTTTTTTAAAAGGAAGCTCATTTCCTACATCTAAGTGAATTAAATGCAAATTTAAATATATATATTCGCCTGAAATAAACATTTTTTTGATTGAGTAACAAGTTTTTACTGATATATCTTAATTCAAAATCTAACCTTTACCAGCTACGTTAGCTGTCCGTTCAATAGAGATAGATATCTACTACTTAGCTGCTAGGTTAGCCGATACGATATTGCACGCAGCCCACGAAAACATACGGTCGGAGGTGTATTTTACCAAGATTTTCAATATTACCAAGCCATTTGAAGTCTTGATAACAAATGTAAAATCACTTCAAATACCTCATCTGAAATTCTTTTGACAAAACAGCAAATAATTATAAGAAGCAATAATGTGATGCAAAAAAGGATTCCAAAAAGAAAATTTGATTTTTTATTTTATTCGATCACTTCCTGTGATCACCGGAAGTGACGATGGACGATCTTAATCCAAATGGATTTGCTTACTTATCAAGAACTACCACTCCTATAAGTTTGGTATCTTAATCTTTTACCGTTTCCGAGATCCTCTATGATAACTTAATATGAGGACAGGAAATCAAGCGACCGGATATGAATTTTACAAAGATATTTGACGTCATTCTAGACATTTGCCATCTGAATGACATAACCAAAAATCATTGCAAATACTTCATCTATAAAAAATATTTAATGGAAAGAAATTTTTTTTCTTATAACCGGAAACTGTCGTTTTTGTTTCCGGTGTGACTGACATATTTCGAAACTACAAATAAGATGCAATAAAGTGATGCAAAAAAAGATTCCAAAAAGAAACGTTGACATTTTGATAATTTCCTGTAACGACTGAAAGTAACGGCGGACAATTTCAACCCAATCGGACTTGCCTACTCTTCAAGATCTATTATTCGCATAAGTTTGGTATCCTAATCTCTTACCGTTTCTTAGATATGAATCGGACAAAATATTTTTAGGGAAAAAAAAACGAAATCGGACATTTCTGACCGCTGGAAGTAAATTTTGAAAAATTGAGAGAAAAGTCTGAGCGTATTTTGGTTCTCTATCATCCCTGAAAATTTTACGAAAATTCGTCCAGTCATCTCTGAGAAATCCGTCTGACAAGAAAAGGGTTTAAAAAAATTAAAAGTACCAGTAGAATCACTATAAGGTCTTCCGTCTGAAAGGAAAGACCTTAAAACGACATCATTAATATACTGATTATATAATAAATCATCATTCACGCTAATAAGGAAATAACTTAATTTTGACTTCAAATGTTATTCAAGTTTAAATACAAAAAAAAAATATTGTTAAAACAAGATGTTTCTGTGAAACACTGATGCACCCGTATGGCACCATAGCACACATTATCCTTTTCTCCAAATAAAATTCTGCAAATTAAATATGTTGGTACCCAAAATAAGGTCTCATCATAAGAAATACAGTTGTGAAATATGAAAGCCCTAGCACATCCTGTTCAAAAGTTATGGTCGAGGATATGTTTTGGAAAGGTAAGTCGAACTCAAAGAGTCAAGGTGATTGGTAGAATGGCAGTTCCTGTCTCAGTCGTATGAAACGAGAGATGACTACCGCCATCTTAAGCCATGAATCCCTGGCTTGATCGATGCGCCATCTATCGCCGCTGCTCTACGCTCTGGCATGGGAAATAACCACAATAAACTGATAAGCTACGACTATCTGCTGAGTCATTGAGTCATCCTAAAACGATGACTGTTTAAAACGTGTAATTTTCAATTAATAAATGTTTCAGTTTTCTTTGATTCAAGTAATGTATGGTATCTAATGTGATAAGAGATTCGCAAGCCTAGTTAAAATACCTTCAAAGAAGCGAAAGGTGTGAGTGAAATATATATGATATATAGGTCTCTGTTGAAACGTCAACAATTATTACAGCCGATGTCTCTGCACTCTGTGTTCTGTTTTGGTTTTCCCGAGATTACGTCAGCGTGAGTTTTTATCCGCCATTCAATGCAGCCGGTAGAGGGCTCTTTACATTACTGGTCACCTGTCTGTATATCGAGGATTAGACAGGTAAGCCAGTCTAAGTAATTGGATTTTAAATTAAGGTCTCAAAGGTCTCAAATTAAATTTGTGATGTATGAAAGCCCTAGCCCAACCCTTCAAATCCTATGGTCAATGTTTGTTTTTAAAAAGTAGATCCAAGGTCAAGAAGAAAGGGTCAAAGTTCTTGGTTTTAATGAAAGGTCTCCTGACAAGGATGATACGTGTAGAGTATCAAAAGCTATGCCCTTACCGTTCAAATGTTTTGGCTGATGTTCAAGTTTATTAAAAGTACTTAAATATCCAAGGTCAAGGTCATAAAATCAAAGTTGTTGGTATCCAATGAAATTTCTTGTCACAAAGAATACATATTTGAAAGTCCTAGCATATACCGTTGAAAAGTTATATCGAAAGTAAAAGTTGGAAATTTTTGTGTAAAAATGTGTCCCAATTCATGCAATTCCGAGATCAAATTTGGTGGTACTCAATTATAATTCTTGTCACAAGGAATTCACATGTGAAATATGAAAGTCATAGCTCCACTTAATTAAAAGTTATGGGCAAAATTAAATTTTTAGCAGATAAATAGGTAGACAAACGGACGAACGGACACGACAAAAACTATATTCCCCCTAGTCTTCGATTACGGGGGCATAGAAAATGCTTGCTGTACGCATAGATAAGATGAAACTTATAATTAAAGATTCTTACGTTTACAAGTGCACCGGTGATGATGACCGTTTTCGTCTGTAATACATTCTGGATTCGAACCGCTGGGACATCCAAAACGATCACAATTCCCAACACTGCAGTGGATACTTCCTATGAGGAAATACATGTATATCGAATGAGCTACGAGCTCGATTTAATTGAAGCGGATGGGCATTTAATTTTGATTTTAATAATTGACATTCGGATGAAAATCCCTTACCATCATAATAATAAGACAAGACTTTCGATTTTGAAACAGAAAAAGTAAAACTGCTGAATAAATGCACGATATGTAAATTTATGTCATTGGTTTTATGGTTAGGTTCTTTGACATGTTAACAGATAGAAACCTTATTCTGACCATAGCATTTTTTTTTTATCATTATCAATCATTTGTTTGACTGAATGTTAAGATTTCTTTTCATCATTTAATTTTTTTTCAGTTAATTGATGCAAACTATTCAACTTTAAAAATTCAACCGCCTTGAAATTTGATACATTTCATTGGATCAAAAGTTTTAAGTTATGATAGCAATATATTGATTCAAAAGAAATTGAATAATCACATCAGTCATATTTAATTGTCTACATTTACTGTATTAACAAAACACCAATGTCTTCTTAAAAACATAATTTGTCGCCAATTTAGCGCAGTGGGAAGAGCGTCTGCTTTACAGTTGCGGAGAAAGGAATTGATCCTTACGTCGCGGGTTCGAATCCAACTGTGAGAAGTCGAAACTGGTTCTACTGAACAGACTGTATTCAACCAAGTTCCCGTGTCACAGGAGGTGCTGGCACGAAAAAGATCCCTCACTGCTCAAAGGCCTATTTGTTAATCTTATTTTAAATAGTAATAATAACTATAAATACAATTTTTCTTATGTGTCTATTTAACTCTTTACCTGTACATGTACATCTGTGTTCACTACAAATTCCCACGTGATGTTCAGAACAACTGGAACAGTCAGAGTGTTGGTAACAATGTTTCGTCGTTGGGTGTTCTGTAAATGTAAAGATATTCAGAGAAACAGATATGTCATTATTGCTGTTCTTTTCCATGTGTATTAGTTACGTAAAGACTTTTAAATTAAAAGTTAAATTCTTGCTAACAAATAAACAATTTGACCCTTTGCTTTGTTTAATGTAAGTTGCCCCTTCGGTGCAGTTGTTATCTAGTGTCTGCTCTAGAGTCGCAACTTATGGAGTTGATCCTTACGTTGCGGGTTCGAATCCCACTGTGTGACGTGCAGACAAGTCCTTCTGATGAAAGAGCATAATCCGAGTATCCGTGTCGCAGTAGGTGCTGGCACGAAAAAGATGCTAAATGGCCCAGATTGCAGAGTATTGGACTAAATTTGCACATCTCCACCAACACCGTGGTGGCGTCTCCATATGAGTAAACAATGCTCGAGAGATAAGTTAAACAATATACAATTAATCATTCAATCGTTTTATGCTATCAAGCAGCGTCTTTTTATCTGTGATAAAAAATTATTTAGAACACCTCCTAACCTTTGGTACACGTTTTTACAAACTTGCAATTTTGCTTCATATTCTATTCAATTATATAAATGTTCATTCATAAATCGTCCGTGTATTAGATCAACTCTTTTGAAAAAGAAAATATCAATCTTTTTATGCGCCCGGATCGATAGATCCGAGCCGTATATTGTTTTTGTCCAGTCTGTTTGTCTGTTTATCTGTTTGTCTGTTTGTCTGTCTGTCTGCTGAAAACTTTAACCTTCGCCATAACTTTTGAACCTTGAAATATATAGACTTCATATTTGATATACATACTCCACTAATAAAGTTCTTTCAAAAGACACCAAGGTCGTTGACCTTGTGACCTTGACTGTGACCTACATGCTAAAAATACATTGTAGCTTTTTCAAATTTTTGCCATAACATAGGAGATAGAGACTTCATATTTGGTATGCATACTTCACTAATAAAGCTGATACAAATGAAACTAAAGTCATTGACCTTGTGACCTTGACTGTGACCTTAATGCTAAACATAGCTGTTTCCAAACTTTTGCCATAAATTTTGAACCATAGGAGATATAGACTTCATATTTGGTATGCATACTCCACTACGAAAGTTCTTTCAAATAACATTAATATCAATGACCTTGTGACCTTGACTGTGACTTATATACTAATTTTTTTTGTAACTTTGTTGCCGCCGGGCGCATAGTGTTTCACAAACATATCTTGTTTATTTATTTATGGATTGAAAGTTTTTTTTCACCCATTTCACAGATTTGTATGGGTAGTAGATTTTAGTGTGATCACTGTTAATCATCTTAACTTTTTTCATTTCTTAAAACTATCTAATCGGTTCATACTATAATTAACAAGTACGGGGTGTTAAAAAAGCCTTGCTTCTGTATTGCTATTCCTGCCTTCACGTGTTTTATGCAACCTAAATACGTATTTTAACATAACGAAGATATAAGGAAGAAACACTATTGTAAATGTATATTTTACCCTGAATGGATTTTAGATTTTTTCTCTTTTTTATCTTCATTTTGACTTTTACCTGTACATGCACAGCGGTAGTTAAAACAATGAGGAACCAGATGACTAGGACAGTCATTACAATCAGAGGTATGCAGACAAAGATTCGACCTACTGGACGGAGTGGTGGTATGTGAATAGTCTAAAAATGAATATACATATCTATATCTATATAAAATATATGACATTTAAAGCCAGCAATGGCAATAAAATGAAAAGTTTGTGCAATTAAATGGGATCTTCCGAATAAAAAGACTTTGTATTAAATGCTTGGCTTTTGACGTTTATTCTTACAGTTAAAAATGAAATGTGCTAAAATCACTGAAATAAGATCTTAAATAAAGGTTTCTTATAAACAATCACAGAAGCACTAAAATACCTGAACAATGACACTTTCCATGGGTACAAGATGCTATATGACCCTGAGAGCAATCATGACAGTCATGGTCGTAAAGACAATCTAGGAATAAATTGTACGGTAAAATGTAGTTTTTGTGACAAGAAAATAATATGTTTGTGAAAATATGAAAGGTTATCAAGATTTTGTGGCTGAAAATATAGTAGTTTTAAGACTAAAATTCTATATCTTACGTATGTGAAGTACAATTAAAAATACTAAATGAAAACTGTTGAAAGATTGAAGGGAATTTTATGTACAACTACAGGTTATTGTTTGTTGCATTTTCTTTGGTTTTCCTTTAGAGCTGTATGAGTAATTCTGCTTTTCTTATATAACATAACATATCACAAACATAGCATTTTATTTCTAATTTAGAGCCAAGAACAGACAAGTATGAAATTATTACAATAATAAGGAAAAGATAAGGCAATGAAAAGCAAAACAATTAGTAAATGACATAAATCATTTCAGCAATAACCCTGTTTCAATTAAAAGAAATACAACAGTATGTATGTACACGTTTAATGGACTTAGACTACTATAACATGTTGTCATTTATAAATGCCAACAAAATTAAGAGTTTCCTTATCTTCTGTATTTAGTAACCAATAAAGTTTTTGTTCATTATCTAAATCTGAGAAGTATGGAAATTTATTATTAATTAACTGAAATATTTATTTTCTTTGATGATCATAGTTTTTACATGTTATCAAAAAATGAGTTTCATCTTGTATATATACTGTTAGAATTACATCTATTAAATAATAAGAATGATACCGATAGTTACTTCTGCTTATGAATTTTTAAGTCAAGGTAAATTGAACGTTGTTTCATCATTTTAAAAACGTTATTCAAGGATTTATTTACGCAGGCAATATTAACAGAATAATTTATTTTGAAACATTTCATAATGTATGAGCCTAAGATTTTTAAATTAGTCTTAATCGATCATTTGTAAAATGATTTTTAAAAAAGACGTTAAAATTCCGAGGTTAGGAAGTTAGGTGAAAAATTTGCAAAAGAAGGCAGCTACACAGGTAAACATCGGTTTTCTTCCTTCGGTGTATAACTATACTTTTTGTACAAGTATATTCACAATACATGTATCTTCGCATTTTAATAGTTTACAAAGTTAAAAAATTTAACAAAATAATTCAAATGATACGAACTTTGTGATAAAATATGGTGTCAGAAATATCAAATTTTGAATGATCTATCTTGTCAAAAAAAATATTTAAGACTTTTCTGTTTTGGATGTTTTTCATCTGCTTTATAAGGTATAATTTTATTTTTGAAAAATGCTGCAGTGTTTTCATGATAAAACATCTGAATATTTTGAAAAATGTATCAGATTCCAATCGCTTTTCACACTGCATAATATACTGTATAATGTTGTTGAATGTAAATCTAGTCTACCTAAAGGGCTTTGTTACAACGCGCTTTGAAATATTACACACTTTTAAAAAAAATCTGAAGTGCGTTAAATGGGACAAAGTTAACACACTCTGAAACAATGAATTTTCTATGAAAGCGAAATGGGTCTTCTAAAAAAAAACGGAGGCAGAGATTACGTTTCTTTTTTGGGATCTAGTTTGTTAGATGTAGGGGGGGGGGCTAAAAATGAACGACTTAATGCATTAATGCACCACATTTTCCTAAGAACAAGCTAATTCAGAGAATTCGTGTCCCCCGCTTAAGGAAAAAGTCGGATTCCCCGACTGAACTTGTAGAATTATTATATGTATACAAGTATACTGAAGCTTAAGCAAATAAAATACATGTATGTCAATATGCACATAAAGATTTGATTGCTTATTCTTTATTATGTGTATAGAAGATTCTTTTTATATGGAATATTTATCACACTGTAATGATGATTTTATGAGTTTGTACAAGCCAGACCTCATAAATTTTTCATTTCACATGCTGAATACTATCATTTAGTAAAAAAAAAAAAAGTATTTCGAAAAAAAAAAAGAATATGGATTGTCCGGGATTCGAACCCGGGACCTTTTACATATGAAGCGAGAGACTACTAGACCACGGAAATGCTTAACATTGAAGAAAATTATATGCAAAGATGAAGTCACATACATGTATTTATGTATTCACGTTCGATATTGTCAAAATTGATGTAATGCATATTCCTGGTAGAGCTCCAGAGTATACCCATGGACACTACTTGAATTGTAAGGGGACTACTAATTGATCCTGCCATGACAGAAAGGGTGCAAGATGCGCGCGTTTTTGCAAATTCAAATTTGCAGAAGGGGATTGAAGATATTGAATACTTGTTTTCAGAGTTGACAAAGCCATTTGTGGAAAGTACTATGCTAGTCCGTACAACCCAACGAATTTTTGAGACTTGACTTTTGCCAACAGATCTACCCTTATCAAAACTCAATTTATTTTCAGCAATCGTTGAAGTACAACAAAGAAGACCATCAATTTTTTTTTTTTACAGTTTTGATTTCTAACCGCCAAGTCTACAGACTGATATTTTACACACACCAATGCATGTTCACAACCAAACAATACTTATAATTGAGATTTATGCAATAAACAAAACAAAATACATGCACAAGTAAATTTGCTGCATGTTCATACGACGGAATTTACACGCATGAACTAATAATTTGCGACAACATGTATGCAAAAGTTAATTTGCACCTACTCCTGACCAGGTGTAAATTTACTCACTGTGCAGAATTTGCATGTGAGCAATTCAGTTCATACGGCAAAACTTTACATATGAGTAAAATATACTGAGATATGCAAATCATGTCGTATGAATGGGGTAATAGTTTCAACTGCAGATATGTGCCTAAATCTTTTGAAATTAGCCTATTTTTGGACGTTCAAATGTAAAGATTTTGTTGCAGGATAAACAAAATACATGATACCTGTCTTGAAATATAAGCTCGGGTCGAAAACTTGAGAGGGCTCGGCAAGCCTCGCCCTCTATCACGTTTCTTACCCTCGCCCAAATATCGTTTATATTTGAAGACAGTGACCTTGTATTTCATATATACACATATTTTGGGTATAACATAGACGTCGAAATTGGGCGAAGAGCAAGGGGATGGGGGTTTACCCCCCTTATTCTTTTTGCAAAGATATATATACAATGTACATCATGTAGGCATTGAGAATGCGGCTTACTCTTTTTTTTTACCCCCCCCCCCTCCCGTTTTATTTGCCACCGACACCTATGCATTGGAAAGATAAAGCATTGATTGAGAGACCCTCTACCCGTCTTTTCCTATTTTCGACGGGAGTAAATCAATTCATTAGTTTTCGAAAGATAAATAACAAATCCATGCTTTCCATTACTAATATTTACTTCCGGATTGATTTTTTATTCATAGTAGTATTTTTTTCAAAGTGTGTTAAATGTTTCCAATGTAAAATATGCTGATGTAAACTCTAACGCACTTTGAAATAAATTTTCAAAGTGCGTTGAGTTGGTCCCAAATTTAACGCACTTTGAATTCTTTTTTTAAGTGCGTTGATTTTGTTTCAAATTTAACGCACTTTGAATTCTTTTTTTAAGTGCGTTGATTTTGTTCCAATTTTAACGCACTTTGAATTTTTTTTTTCAAAGTGTGTTGCCACAGGGATTTTTTTTTACCTACACAGGTACAGTAGTGGTTTTGGCAATATGGAACCTGGTGATTATGGCAAACATGATCATGACATTCATAACTGTGCTGACAACCACGTGATTGACTGGAGGTCTGTGAATTGCCTGAAAAAAGTAATAGTGATACAGTGTATTAATATGCAACCAGTGTCAGCATGAATTGAAGAAAATATTTTTAATGTTGTTGTGCTGCATTGATGAAAAAAAGATAAATCAACTCAATAGACAGATTTTTAGATGGGCTTATGATTATAAAAAAAATATTAGTTGTTTCTCCACAATAAAATTGAACGATGGACCAATAAAAATGGAATAAATTTAATTCATATATTGTTTTATATATTATTTATCTATGTATAGATTTTCATAAAACATTAGTTCTTTGGGAAATAAACGAGAAAACGGAAAAAAAAATATTTTAAATATCCCCCCTTTGAAGCAAAATTTCTTTTTTACGAGTTATATGGACTGTCTTTTCACGACTTCTTACCACAGCTTTTTGTGTAATACGGGAGGGGAGGGACATATGTTTTTTTTTATACAAAAAGGACAAAATTTCGGCGGGTTTTGGGAGTTACCTTGCGTAGTTCTCCGTAAATGCAATTCAAATTTTTTAATGAGCTTAAACGAAATAATTCATTTTCTTAAAACGTAATTATATTTGGATTCAGCTCATGTCAGTTAAATTGGTTTGTATGTTAGGGTATTGGTTAATATCACAATTTGAAAGAGGAAATAGCATAGGTTGCGATTTGCTATATTGGTGATTACGCTTATGTTATAATTTTATCCCAGTTAAGGCCTGTTTTTGGTAACCATCTCACTTTCTTGGTTGGCTTAAGATATAATTGTTGTTTCGATATGTGTTACATTCCTTCTTTTTTCTATCTCCTTGGATCATTTTATGTTTATCATCGATTCGTGCTTGGATATCCTAATATTAGTAAAAAAAAAATTACGGTTCCCAATTCCATTTTTTTTTTTTTTTTTTTTTTTATCGATGATTTGTTCTATACAATGTGGCCGTATTAGCCTTCAGTTTGTAAATTGTGTTTGAGTTTTAGAA